GCCTGAACTTTAAATTGAAACATTTTCAACTCCTCGTAGTTAAAAGACTGCAGGCTGATTATGTCTCCAGTTTCTGAGTTAATGTTTACCATTGTGGGGAGAGGAAGTGATTTACTATTACTATCTAATAGTGAATAGCTCACCTGACCGTTGTTGCTAATGTCAACATCGACTGCAGTCACCCTTTTTATAACTGTTCCTACCTTGCTGTTTTCTTTCACAAAAACATTTATTAAAGACTGTGAAAAACGTGGCGCATTGTCGTTAATATCAGAAAGGTAAACAGTGATAACACTAGTGTTAGAAAGTGGAGGGCTCCCTTCATCCGTAGCTGAAATTGTGACATTGTACTGAGGGGTCTCCTCTCTGTCTAGATGTCCGTCAACAACTAAAGAGTAATAATTTTTGTAATTTGTATCCAGTTTGAACGGAACTTTATTTAAGATTACACATTCAACTTCACCGTTGTTACCACTATCTGTATCTAGAACTGAAACAAGTGCAATAGCAGTGCCTATTTCAGCGTCCTCGTTCACTGCATTGAGAAGTGACGTCACTTTGATTTCAGGAGCGTTGTCATTTAAGTCTATTACTTCAACCAGCACCTTACTATGGGCTGCCATGGGGGGCTGGCCTTTGTCTCTAGCTTCTGCTCGGATCTCGAAAGCTTTTCTTTCTTCATAGTCGATTTTGGCTTTGACTGAAATAACCCCCGTCTCAGGGTCAATTTGGAAAATATCCAAAATATGATCCTGATCCTTACTTCGTAAGGAGTACACTATTTCACCATTTGTTCCTTCATCAGCGTCAGTCGCATTTAAGGTGAAGATCGTAGTGCCAATCGGGCTATTTTCGAGTGTTTTAATTTTGTAAAGAGTGCTACTGAACACTGGTGCGTTATCATTACTGTCTAACACACTTACTTCAATTTCTGATGTCCCCGTGTTTGGTGGAGACCCTCCGTCTATTGCAGTTAACACAAGTTGTATACTTGCTTGTTTCTCACGATCCAGGGCTTTCTGCAGCACTAACTCTGGAGATATACCCTTTCCTCTTTTATGTGTGGCAAGACTGAAATATTCATTAGTACTCAGCTTATATGCACTAACACTGTTTTTACCCACGTCAGCGTCGCTTGCCTCCGATAGCGCAAATCTAAACCCAGGCAGTGTGTTCTCTGCGATTTCCAGTATTTGAGATTTCGTGTTAAAGGATGGAGAGTGGTCGTTCACATCTCTAATTTCTATCTCCACGCGGTAAAGCTTTAACGGATTGTTTATCACAGCCTCTACGGTAATCGTGCATTTGGGCTCATCTGTACAAACCTCCTCTCGATCTATCCTCTCACTGACATACAGAAATCCGGTCTTTAGATTTATCTCAAAGTATTTCTTTTTAGATGCAACAATCTGAAACAAACGGGAGACCAACTCCTGCACGTTAAGGTTTAGATCCTTGGCGATATTTCCGACATTAGTCCCCGGATTCACCTCCTCTGAGACGGAATAGGAGAGCTGTGCAGCCGTCGCTTCCCAATAATAAGCCAAGAGCACAATCAAAAGAAATGAGACAATAGCGCTTCTTCTCGTCGTTAAATGCATACTTCCGCCGGAATACAGCAAATAATATATCCACAAATCCGTTCCCAGTGGTAGATGGTAGGATATGACAAAAATCAAGGCGACTGTGATATTTTTAAAAAGAAATGCTCCATTATGCCGCTCCTTCCCTTCCCTCGTCCCTTTGTGATGAAAACCACAGCGATTCCGCTTTTACCCTGGGAGGAGCGTCCACCTTTCTGTGCCACGGTCTACAGCGTCGCTACGTGGTAATATGAAGAAACTACACACATTGGTAAGAACTAAATTATTCCTGTTCACTCAGACACGCCCACAATCACACAATTCCAAAATACTGTGAGTTATTTAAAAGATTTTTATACGTACGTTAATAAAATAACACTTTATTTGAAGTTACGCCATCACCGACACTGGCATCGTAGTATTTATTGTCGCATTTCTTTGTTGAATCATCCAAACAATATATATTCAGTAAGGTCACTATTCTCATTCAGGTGAAACACCGCAAGTTTTACATTTCAAATCACCAAGCAGTATTGCAGGTGCTAAAGTTTGCACTCCATTTTCAAAGTAAGACAGATAATCAGGTTTCAAATCTCAAATTATTAATTGTATTCATCTGAAATGACAAAGCAAGAAATCCATTTTTTCATTACACTTAGTCGTTTACAATTAGACTTACAGACTTATAGTAAGTAAACTTAAAAACTGCCTTAATTTAAACAAAACGCCACCAAAAAACCCCAAACAAAACAAAAAAGACACTGTTACGTGGATTGGTTGTCAAGAAAAAGACAATAACTCCCTACAGCTACGGATATGTCATGGGGCAAGTTTTGTAAACTTTTTAGTACCATAGACAGCGAAATATGCAGACGAAAGAAAGGACACCGCAAAAGTCTAAACTACAGCCACAGCGACTTTTTTTTATCTTAACTTAAACCAACCTACTACAAAGAGAATATTTTGTAGTACAGTGTGTAAAGTTTTATTTCACTGTTAATTATCATAATAATTGGAGGGGAATAATAAACGTAAATTAGTCATCGGCCTTACCTTCTCTTTGTTAGGCAAAGTCTGAGTCCTGGTAAAAGTGTCTCCACCGTTAATACTGATCAGTTCTGCGTCTACGGGTGGAAACGGGGCCGGGAAAACCACTACGTCACTCTTGAGCGTGTCTGAGCTGAAACACACGTCATACTGCTGAGTAGCTTTAGAGTAAGACCAGCTCCCGTCAGGGTGGGTGGTGATCATGGGGGCGCTGTACCTGCTGAAAGTGCCGTCTGTCCTGTGGCATCTGACTGCTATTAAAGTGATGAGGCTGAGCAGAAAGATGATGGACACCGACACAATGGCGATCAGCAGATACAGGTTCAAATCCGAGAAGCTCTCCTCCTTTACAGGCACATGTCTGAACTGAGTCTGGATTTCAGCCGTGCTTTCAACCACCACCACATCAATAGACACAGTAACTGACAGGGAGGGTTCTCCGTTATCAGAGACCAAGACCACCAAGGGATGAGTTTTGAGGTCATTGTCACTCATTCTCCTTTTAGTCCTGATCTCCCCGGTGCTAGTCCCAATCCTGAACAGGTTGTTTCCTTTGGGCTCAGACAGGTGATAAGAGAGCAGCGCATTGTATCCAGAGTCCGCGTCTACAGCCCTGATCTTTGCCACAAAGTATCCCGCTTCAGCAGAATAGGGGATGCTCTCACTGTTAACGGAGCCGTGCTGAGAGTAAGGAGCGAGAATTGTTGGATTATTATCATTTGCATCCAGAATTAAGACTTTAACAGTCACGTTGCTGCTGAGCGGAGGAACACCAGAGTCTGTGGCCTGAACTTTAAATTGAAACATTTTCAACTCCTCGTAGTTAAAAGGTTGTAGAGTGACTATACCTCCAGTTTCTGAGTTAATGCTGATCATTGTAGAGAGCGGCCCTGCGTTATCACTGACTAAAGAATATCTCACCTGCCCGTTTTCGCCAGCGTCAGCGTCAGTTGCACATACTGTTTTTAAAACAGTCCCGACAGGACTGTTTTCTACCACATATATATTAAGTACGGTATCTCCAAACAAAGGTGCGTTATCATTTACATCAGAAACCTGAATAGTAACTACACTGGTGCTAGAGAGAGGGGGACTGCCTTCATCAGTAGCTGTAATAGTGATATTGTAGTGCGACACAAGTTCCCTGTCTAGAACGCCATCAATGACCAAAGAATAATAATTTTTATAATTTGTCTCCAATTTAAAGGGGACCGAATTCAATATCTCGCATTTGACTTCACCGTTTTTGCCCCCGTCTTCGTCGAGAACCGAAACAAGTGCAATAGCAGTGCCACTTTCAGCGTCCTCCTTAACTGTACTGAGCAGTGACGTCACGCTGATGTCGGGGGCATTGTCATTTAGATCCACCACCTCTACGAGTACTTTACATTGTGCTGTTAGCGGAGGATGGCCTTTGTCCGTAGCCTGCACACGGATTTCAAAAGCAGGGTTTGTTTCAAAGTCAATAGTTCCTTTAACTGTTATTATTCCTGTTTGCAAATCAATTTCAAAAATTTCTAATACACGATCCTGATCTTTCGAATTAAGTAAATATACGATGTCTTTGTTTGCACCCTCGTCAGCATCAGTTGCAGTCACTGTTACTACTGTAGTGCCTGATGATGCATTTTCTTTAACACTTGTTTTATACAACGATTTTTTAAAAGTTGGGATATTATCATTTATATCCAACACATTAATTATGATCTCTGACGTGCCTGATTTAATAGGTGTCCCTCCATCTATAGCCGTCAGTGTGAGTTTAATTACAGCCTGCTTTTCTCGGTCTAACGCTCTCTGAAGAACTATCTCTGCCGAAACACTGTCCCCTTTGTGCACCGCTAAAGAAAAATGTTCATTCTGGTTCAGCTTGTAAGTGTTAACACCATTTTTCCCCACATCGGTGTCGTAGGCCGACAGCACAGGGAACGTAGCTCCCGGTAACACGCTCTCTGCAATGTCTATAGTTTGAGATTTGGCACTGAAAGACGGGGGGTTGTCGTTTACGTCAAGAATATTGACTTCAATACGGTAAAGTTTCAGCGGATTGTTTATCACAGCCTCCACGTTTATTGTGCATTTTGTAGCTTTAGCGCAGAGCTCTTCCCTGTCTATTCTCTCGCTCACGTAGAGAAAACCTGTCTTCAAATTTACATCGAAATGCTTCCTTTTTGATCCCGTAACAATCTGAAACATACGTGACTCCAGATCCTGTACATTTAGGTTCAGATCCTTGGCGAGATTTCCAACGGAAGTCCCCAGGTTCACCTCCTCAGACACGGAATATGAGAGCTGAGTGGATACCGCTCCCCAGTTATACTCCAAGACAACAAGCATTAGATATATCCCAAAGGACGCCATTCTTCTCGGCAGATACATAATCCATACAACATAGATCCTTATGTCGATCTGTTTTTCGCCTTTTTGCGGCGAAATGTATTTTGTGAGACTAAAGTAAATGCCAGTGCATTTTTCTCAAGCCTCCCCACTTCGTCCTGCCTCTCATTCTAACAAAGCACAGACAAAATGATCCTTCTATTGTGGGAGGGGCCTTCAACCATCAGCGATCAGCCGGCGGTATTACGGTCTAGACTGTCGCCCCACGGTCATTTTAAGTAACTACAGTTAAGGAATGAATGCAATCAAATCCTGCTGTTGTGTTTGAAATAATAAGACTTGTTCTTAATCGAGTCACTCACACCTTCTTTCTTTATATTGTGAGATCCTAATAGTACAGTATAATGTAATCGCCACATATTTCAGAACCATGGAGAGAGTATCATTATGTTGATACAGGCACTCATTAGACCTTATTTATTTAACCTTATACCAAGGGACACGCTGTTAAAAGACTTTCAGAACCGAGCCTTGGTTATTTCTAAAGAAATTACAAATGATAACATAAACAGGCTTCATAAGTCAACAAATAGACATAGTTGAAAATGTGATTTTTTTTGTTATGCTTTCAACCTTTTTAACTTCTAGCCACAGCTTTAATCCAGGAAAAAAAATATTACTGTATATTAATTTAATTTAAAAGTGAATGGATAACATGTATATTTACAAACAAAAGTTTATATCAAGGCTGTTTGAAAAAAAAGGAAGCCAACACAAAACCTGACTCTAAGTTTTGTTAAATGGAAGTGCTTATTTTAAATCTTGATCATTTTGATTCAGGTACAGTGAGTTTAGTTACTGTTTGATACATTTCACTTTTGTGTGATTTGTTTCAAAATGATTGTTGGCAAAATTGTCACGTCAAAGGCCAGATGTTCTAAAGACTGCAAAAAGAGCCCAGGGGAAATGTCAGCGAACAGTCCCTTACAGACCATTTGAATGACTACAAGCTAAAAGTTATTTGTTTTCTCCAGAAACCCTCAAAATATATTGTATAGCTCATGTCTAAACTTTTACCATAAAGGTTTCTACAGTAACACTTTTTTTACCCTTTGACATAAAACACAGATACAAAAACTATGAAATATGAATACAATATAAAATTAATAAATGGAAAATTAACTAAACTTTTGAACAAAACATGAAGTAGAAATTTTTATTGTATGTTACAGCTCACCTTAAATTATCTAAGGTTCAGCCTTACCTTTTCTTTGTTAGGTAAAGTCTGAGTCCTGGTAAAAGTGTCTCCTCCGTTAATACTGATCAGTTCTCCATCTACAGGTGGAAACGGGGCGGGGAA